CTGCAGCTGTCTCCCACTGCTACAGCTCCAGCCCTACCCCACACAAACTACTGGAACTCTAAGCTGCTGATGAGAAATTACAATAAATCTAACTTTCCCCCTATTTTTGCCCGTAATACAAAGAACTGAACAACGACCTACACCATCTCTGACAAAGCATATTTCAGCTACCAATACTGAACAAACTAGACCGCACTTGGCAGATGAGCAAACAGAAGAAAAGTCTCAGATATTTTAAGAGAAGTGGAATAATCTAAATAATTGGGGTAACTGCAAGAAACAAGAAACGTTTACAAATTTTAAAATTTACATTCCCAGTGAGCTTCAAAAGAACAGGGAATCACTAATAGAAATGGTACTACAATGAAAGGTGAGAAAGCAGCAACAGGAAATAGTATTTTAAGGTGAAAAGTAAAACTGGTGGCCTAAAGAGTAGAGGCAGTGAAATGCAGACCGGCTACTGAAGAAAACCAAGTTGTGCCCAAGAAGATCTGCTCAACAAAATCTCCCAGAGCTCACGGGAAAATAATGAAAAACTGGAAATTATCAGTGAAAAAGATAACACCTGAATAACAGATCCAGAAGATCAAATATGTGTAGTAGGAATTTTGGAGAGAGAAAACGAAACAAGGGAGAAATAATATTAAGTTAAGGAGAAGTAATAATTAAGTAAATAATGGGGGAGGGGGGACTTAAAAATGAGTCTTTCAAACTGAAATTATTTACTCAGAGCTTGGCAGAATTAATCATGAAAGATTCACACATCCCAGAACTCCTGAATGTCGGGGGGCAAGGGGGGAGATATCCAACAGACATCTGAACCTCCACTGAGATTTAAAAAAAAGAATATGAATAAGATGATGTCAGGCTTCTCATCTGCCATACTAACTGCTAAAAGACAATGGGAGTAAGATTTATGGGACTCTGAAGGGAAAAGACTGTGGCCTAAGAATCCTAAATTTAGCTAAACTATCAATGCTGTAATTATTATAAGGCAGAAGAAATACATTAATAAACATAGAAGGACTCAAAAATATACTTTCCACATATCCTTTCTGGAAAAAAATTCTTAAGAAAGGGAGGATAAACAATCAATTGAAAAAATAAATCAGAATAAAGAACTCAAGAAAGTAGAAGATATATAGAAGCATAAAAGAAATAGCAGTGAGCAATAAAGCTAATAAAACTAGAGTGACCTAAATTATGTATGCTAATAGTATTGAAATCATGATACAAATATTCAGCAAAGATGCCTAAAGGAGCTAAATGTAAAAAAAAATAGTATGAACCAACATTCCTAATTATTTCAACAAAATTTAGGTGGTAAGGAGAAGAAAGAAAGAATGTGCTGAAGCACTCATATACTCATATAGATTAGGGACCTCCACAGACACTGTTTCAATAATAAATAAGTTCCAATTTTAAATGTACCCACCATTAGAACAAAAATTAGACATATACCTCCCAAGTCACAAAGAACTGTTTTCCTTCTTTAAAAGAAAGGAAAACTTGATAAATAAAACAAGACAAAACTCAGAAAAAGGTAAACAATAAAAGCATAATAACTTGAAAACCTAATACAAGATGCCAAGAGTAAGAGCAAAGATTCAGTGAACACGAACGGGTTAAGCAACGTAATAAAGGAGGAACACAAACTGGGTGAAAAGAGCCAGAGGCCACTCACTTCCCGGGTTCTTAAATGAGGCCTTGTGTGCAAAGGGGCCAGGCATAAAGTAGCTGCTCAAAAAAGTGTATGTAAAGAAAGAAATAGTATTTGCAGGCACCATGGTGAACCAAACATTCACAAAGAAGGAAAAACAAGGAGGAAACTTTACCTGCTTAAAACACCGGAAAAAATTCATTGAAATAGAAAAAAATTTTTTAAGTCTCATCATGAACGGGCAAGAAAACAAAAGAAACCCTCGGAGGTCAAAAACTTAATAAAATGTATAATCTCTGACCCAGAAATTCCACTTGTAGAAATTTATTCTACAGTCACATGCAATAAAAGTTGGAAATCATACATGGGAAGAATTAATAAATTCAAGACAGTTTTCTCAGTTTAGGATAATTTGGGCTGCAAATAAAAGAATACCCAACTAAAGTGACTCAAACAAAAAGGGTCTAATTTAAACAAAAGGACTAGAAGGCAGGCACTTCCAAGTTGATTCAGTAACTCAAATACATAGACGGCCAAGGTTCTACATTCCTGCCCTATTACCTTCAGTGTGCTACGGCCATCATATTAGGCAAACACAAGGTTTATAAGATTGTACATATAAAATGATCTTAAATACTAAAATGAGAGAAGAGTTAAAGCAAATCTGTTAACCTTTGGTTGCTCTAAGATGCTGGGATCATGGGTGGTTTCTTACCTTCTGCTTCACGTATTTTTTGTACTTTCCTATCTTTTATAAGAATGTAATACATGTATAAACTTAAAATAGAAAATGTATATATATATAAAAGACAAGTGCTACTGAAGAAAGGGGCTCAACTACCCCTTGGCCATAATGACACAGGTGCTTTCTTCTTGTTTTCCAATTAGAATTCTTACAAATTGACTTGTTACGTGTGAGTTTTCTAATTCTCCACCACATGCACAGTAGTTTTGTATAAAAAGTAAGCTCACGATGTTAATGATTATCATCTATGTAGAGTATAAAACTTGTATAGAACTAAACAGTTCCCTTTCACATGTCTTTATTTCATTATTACTGACTACTACAACCCTTACAAAAAGAAAAATAGATGAATAGAGCATTTTGCAGTGAGGAACTTGAAGCTTTAATTAGTCAAGAGTCTTTCCCAAAATCACATTAAATTGGGAAACTTGAATAGAATTTATCCTGTGGGGGACTGGAATTGGCCACCCCAAGATACATCTCTTTGGCATGAGGATTATTTTGGGCCGGTTACTTTTAAAAACTGCAGACAGGAAAGAAACTCTGAAAAGTAGAATTTACTTACCCTTTGTTAGGACACATTTACATTGTAAAGGAAATCTCCATCTGTAAAGGTGTCTCCCTCTCCATACCAGGAAGGGGGGGATGACCCTATCTCTAGAAACTCTTATCAATGTGGAAGGCAAGGACTCAAGTCTGTGTAATAACCTGACTCTTGTTTACTGTACTTTGTGTGGTAATTGCCCATGATAGACTCCTCCCACCCCCAACATCCTCCTTTGTCTTTAGCTGAAGATGGTATTTAAGGTGGTGGCTTCAGCCATTTTGGCGAGTTGCTCAGCTTGCCTGAGCCTCTCCCATGTATACATGTTATAAAGTTTTGTTTAATTTCCTCCTGTTATTCTGTCTCATGTGAATTTAACTCCTGCTCCAGCCAGAAGAACCCAGAGCAGGTAGAGGAAATGCCTTCCTCCCCTACAATCCCCAAAGCATTCTCTTTTCATGTACCATATTTCATAAAGATAACAGTAAAACAAATTCCTGGTTATATTGCATCAATTTCCAAGGGGCTCAAATTCTTTTAGATACTTAGTACCAGTAACCGTCAGTGCTCCTAAATCTACTGCAAAGTGAATGTTTAGCGACCAAAGCTGGCTAGAAGAAACCTACACTATACATTTGGTGTGCTTTAGTGACTGCCTTCTGTTAACCTTCCCCATGTTATGAGGCAGTCAGAACAGTTTGAGGGGCTTCCCACATGTAGAGTATCACTTATCCACTAATTTCAGAGGCATTTTCCAAAAATGTCTTTCCTATAGCTTAAAACTAAAAATTTGGGTCTCAGAATTTCCATTTTAAAACTGAAGGACACCTGAGAAATAATTTAGTCAAACTCCTCACTTCATATACAAGGAAATGTCAATGCACAGTTTAAAACCATCAAACAGATCACAGTTAGAAATGTTCCACAGAGCACACAAAGATGTCTTGGGAAAAGGTCTGAACCCTGCAAGAATTTATCCTGTTGCTCAATCTTTAGTTTATGATCCTATTTTTAAAATGCTGGTCAATCAGTTTCTAAGGCCCTTTTTAGATATTACAAATCCTCAAGTAAGAAAATTCCATCCAGTTAAACATGACGTGCAGAGTAAACCAGCTGAGTGGCATCTGTGGCACATCAAGTGCCCTATTAGGTCATCCTGTCCCCTCTTCTCCATCCACAAGGACTAAAAATTAAGCTCCGCCTTTTTGGTCATTGTTGTCTTCAATAACGTGACATGAGACACTGAAGAGAGGAATCTGTCAACACCAAATTGTAAACAAAAAATTCACCAAAATAAAAATTACTGTTAGGTTCGTTTCATTTTGTTTTAGGCTCTGCCAACACTGTTCACAAAAATTATGAAATGTAATAAACTTAATTATACAAAATTAAACAAACTATAAACATCTACGATGTTAATCATCGATCAAAATTAATGGTTCGAGCCATTGGTGGAGAAAGACGAAGGAGCTATTTAAAAAGCCTCGCACGGAAGATGCTTCCTGTATTTTTGTGTATGTTGCCTGGCATGACCCATACAACACCTCTCACAAGTAGATATTTAAAAACCCTATTGTACAGAGAAAGAAACTGAGGCTTGAAGAGGTTGTCTAACTTGATTGAGCCTCACAGATAATAGGAAGGAAAGCTGGAATCTGAGCCAGACCAGTCTCACTCCAAACCCTGTCTTTCCTCTACGTGCACATGCTGCCCCAAGTACTTACAAAGAATGAGAAAAGATCCAGGTCTCACTGTTGACGAATTTATGTTCTAAAGACAAACTTGGGCCTCACTGCCTCCCTTATTAAAGAGTTGGAGATTCCAAGTGAAATTTTAAAATATTCCTTCCCCTTCAACATCTGTCCTTGCTCAGATCTTCACTGCCAGGCCATGCATGGCTGCCAGGAGCTCTGGACCACCCGACTATGACTGAAGAATTTACTAAAAATTCTTAGCCAGACTTATTCATAAATACATGAATAATGTATGACAATATTTAAAAAAATCAAACAGAAGTAAATCACTGGAGTGCTAAGTATTAAATGTTATACCAGGTGAAAATTCCCTCCGTTGATACCAGTTTCCTTTTCGCAGTCCTGGCTGCATCTCGGCCCTGCCCTGTCAGCATTCTGCCCTCAGTCAGGGCTGGCTGCACTCTGAGCTGGTTACTCTTGGCTGAATTCCACATGATTTCAGTTGGCCTCAGTATTATTTTTTGCTTAGCTCTCAAGTCCAGAGATATTTATTCTATAAATGACTGCCATTTTTGTACTGAACTTCTGAAACCCTCCAAATTGAGGAATATTTTAATTGACTCATTAAGAAAAGGTATCAAATTTTAGTGGTGGTTGCTATGGGATGAAACAATTTTGCTTTGTATATTATAAGTATTTATCTGTTTCTTTAAAGGATTATTACTTTTAAGATAAACAGATACATTTTTCCTCTTTTATTACATAACTGGGCCTAAAGGATAGCTACATTCTTTCCAGAAATACAAGTCTTGCACTCCAAATACTTAGACAAACAAATTCTATACACATGCATGCTTAATAGAGGAGAAAACCATCATACCAATACTAGGAAGGTGTGTGGCTAAAGTGCCATTTAGTCATAATGTACTTAACTAGAAACAGCTAAGTTTGAATTATGAAAGTATATACCCAGATCCCTACCACTCAGTACCTCTACCACCATCATCCTGTTCAAAGCCACCAGCACCTCTCCCGCTGCGATGCCCTCCTAACTGGTCCTCCAGCTTCTGTCCTCACTCACTCCTACCCTGGACCTGGTTGACTCTCTCACAAGAGTCACTGATACTATTAAAACAAGTTAAATCTTGTCATTCCTCTAATCAAAATCCTGCCTTGGCTCCCCATTTTACCAGAGTAAAAGGCAACATCATCACAATGGTCTACAATGAAATATTTCATCGTGACAATCCCCCTGACCTCGTCTCCTAGGACTCTCCTCCCAGCCACACTGGCTTCCCTGATGAACACCAGGGCCATTCCTGCCACAGGGGCTTTGTATCAGCTGTTCCCTCCGCCAAGAAGACTTGTGCCCAGATAGCGCCATGGCTAACCCCCTCACCCTTCCAGACTGGATTCAAGTGTCACCTTCTCAGTGAGGACCATGTTGGCCATTTCCTTTTAAAAATTGGAAACATCCCTTCCCCCATCCCATACTTGCATTCCCAGTCTTTTTACCCTGCTCTGTGTTTTTTCCCCACAGTGCTTATCACCTTCTAACACACTCTTTACTTACCCGCTATAATTATTGTTTATTTCTCCACACAGGAATATAAGCTCCACAATGGCAGAGATCTTTGTTTTGTTTGCTAATATTATCCCCTGCCTAGAATAGTGCCTGATACAGAGTCAGGAACTCAACTAATATTTGTTGAGCACATGCTAAATTAGAGTAAAATAAGCAGAGTTTAGATGGCCTAATGCAGTCACATCAAGATCCCAACACACAAGATTCTTGCCACTCCCAGCGATGACTGGAACCAGAACAAGCAAATCAGGAGTCACGAAAGTCCAAGAGCGAGGGCTCACACCACAGTTCTTGGGAACAAAACTATAAATAATCAGGCAAGGCCTGAGACATAGGGTTAGAGTATCTGGGATGAAATCAGAACTCCTGCTTTTAGCAAATTCATTGTATCAGACTCGAGCAGTAACCTGTCCATAATCACCCCAAGAAAAGCGTGTGCCTGGAGAAGCCTCTGATTAAATGAAACCATTCTACCATATATCGGTTTCTCCCAACCTGATCTTTTCTCTAATCTTTCATCTTTTAGCACATTGTCTCAAAATAGGGTTCAATCAGTTCAAAGACAGCTCTTGAAAGGAACAGTAGGCAACAGGGGGAGCACATTTAATTACGTCTCTTTATTCTGCCCTTTTATTTTAAAACCTGGGGGGCAGGGGGAGAGGCAGTGAAGAAATTACTTCCAGAGATTAAAAAAGGACCCATACCTTTAAAAAGAGCTGTCTATAGTAACTGCCAGCTGTGGAAAGACAGAAACAACCACAAGACTAGCAGGGCAGGAACCAGAGAATATCCAGAATTTCTAGAGGGAATGAGAAAAAGTTAGAAATAAGGTAGGTTCCAAATGTTCACAGGATGTGCATTCTAACATGTGGTGTGCTGGAAAGATGAGTGGTATTCACTGATGAGAGTATGATGAGGTCTGTAAGGTTAAACCACAAACATCTGTTGAGAGGCTACTGCGTAAAAAACACACGCAAAATAACATCTACAACCAAGGAAATTCACAGGAGACTACTGAAAAATGGGTGAAGAGACTAAAAAAAATGCTTAATTCCCAGGCAGTATTCCAAGAGCTTGAATTAGCTCACTGAATCCTCGTAAAAAGCCCTATGAATCAGGTGCTGTAGCGATCCCCATTTTAGAGAGGAGAGTAAGGTGCAGTGTTCTCTCACCCCCCTGTCATTCTCCCCTGCCTCCTCCAGGCTCCCTCTCATCCTTCTGCTATAGCTCTTCCTTAGGTTGTCCATTCATCTGGTTTGCCTAGGACTGCCCTGATTTATATCTGTTCTCTGGGCCTAAATATTAACAGCACCTACCTTCACTTTTCTTTTAATTGTCATAAAAAACACATAACATAAAATTACCACCTTAACCATTTTTAAGTGCACAGTTCAACCTACTTTACTTTTAAAAAGTGTCCCGGTTTGGACTAGAAATTATATGATCACCCTTCTTCACTTAAACTTCCCTACTGTAACTGTTTACTTACCAGCCACCTTGACCCAAGTGTGAGCTTCCGGAGCACAGAACTTTGTGTGCTGTGTTTTCATGCTCACACCCCAGCACAGTGCCAGGCATATTGTTAGTAAATGTTTAATAAGTGAACAAATGAATGAATGTTACCCTAAAGTCCCTACTGGTTAACGTTCATTTTACAGAGGAAGGCTGCCCCCTACCAGGTTCAGAATTTGAAACTTGTAAAACACTCCAGCTGTAGCCGAAACCAGCCAGAGGAAGAGCCAGAGGTCTCGACAACGCTATAAACGCGTGCTGCTGCACAAGTAAGAACAGTCATTTACCCAGCAGTGGGCCGCCAGAGGAGACGGTGGCCGCAAGAAAATGTGCGTGGGCTTATAAATATTTGGACAGATTCACAAGACTGGAATAAAGGACAATAATAAAAACAAAAAAACTACCTAAAGAAGCAGGGACTCAAAACACAGTGAGGAATGTCAAGTGCTCCACTTAAACATTCTTTTAAAATTCGAGTATTATCTTTTGGGATGCAAATACTACAAAGCTCCCCACTGTGGGCCTAGGGCCTCCTGGAGTGAATTACAACACAAATGTGCTTTAGGTTAATCCTGTACATTTGTGAAAAGGGAAATAAGAACGACCTCCAATTTCAGTGTAATTTTAAAAACCTAAAATGCAATGTTTAATATGAAGCTAAACAACCCATCTTTCTCTCCCTCCCTCTCCTCCCCCTCCTCTCTCACACACTTACATACACACCTTTAAGCTTCTCCATCAAGTTAAATTGAGCAAAAAGATAAAACAAAATTAAGAAAAAAAGATCAAAGGAAATGTGGTTTTTAGCTGACTTAACAGAAAATCTCACTGCATTACTAAGTGAAACAGTTTCATCATCATCATATTAATATAGAAGTTCTCTTTTTTTTCTCCTTCCACTCAAGTCTTTGAGTCACTAGTACCACGTGGCCTCCTCAGAGCCAATCTAATCTCTGTATTTTTCCTGATGGCAACAGCCATTTGTGCTTGTGGGAACCCAAAACCACCAATCTGGCCAGCCATCACATTGCGTGCGTACTTTAAAACTTTCACTCAGGGTTGAGGTAGCTGCCACTTTATTATTTGCAACTCTTTAAGATATGAAGTCCATAAGAATCTTCAATTCAAAGTAGTCTTAATTGCTCTAAGGTCTGCTGTTTTCCAGGTAAACAAGGTCCCTTTAATTCTTCCAGATTTAATGAAGAGAGTATTTTTGAAGCATTAACGTACTTGTACTAAACATGACCACCCCCTAGTCTGTCAATGTATCTGTTTGCCTAGGCAAGGCTTCTGTTACTGCAGAAATATGAGAAGAGGGAAGGGATGAGAGGAGAGAGACATGATTTTGCAGCAGGAATCCCAGGCTTTATCTCGAGAAAATGTTTTTTCCTAAATCCCTTTAACATCAGTAAACAGTGAGGCCAACAGGACTTGATCATCGAGTTTTATATGGAAGGGAAGTTTTAATCTGACAGAATGAGGAAAGGGGGAAGCCCAGGAGAAAGCAGGAAAAGAAGAAAAGAGGGGAGCTGGAGTCAGGAGAGAAAGTGGGTGAGGTTAGTGTGTTCCAACCTCCCCTCTTGGAAGGTGTACTCACATGGTGAAAGTAATACCAAGGGTAGGACGGTCTCTGCCATGCTTCCCTTTAGGATTCTGGAAAAGACTGTTTCGTAAGCTACACCACACCAACCCAGGCCCACGCCAGTCATATCAATATAAACTCTGCTACAGCAAAGTCAGACAGAATAATGGCTGGAATTTATCTCTTACCTCTGTGGTCCTGATTTTTGTTTTGTTTCCACAAGACCCAGAAATCCTGCCTGGACAGGGGTAGGATGGAAGCGAGCAGATGCAGATGGGTGGGGCGGGTTGAGAGGCGCAAGAGTGCCTGATAAGGGTTGAAGTGACACCACTACAAAGACTGCAGGGGACCAGACCACTAGGCCAAGAGTTGGATGAAAGATATGACAGAGAACCAGAGGGGAAGCATATCCCCAAGGGCCAAAGTGAAGTGGAGCCCACCAGGAACACCACCAAGCATGACTGAGCATGACAAGCAAAACGAGACTTCTACCAGCAAGAGTTTTCAGCAGTGGACTCCAGGGAGGTATGTCATCCACCAGTGATCTCCAGTCCAGGAAACAGGCCAGAGCAGCTGCTTCCTGGCAGAGCCAAAAGGGGGTCACCAGGTGGCTCTGTGGATCCCATCCACTCCCCTACCCCCACCCCCATCTCACCCAGATGCCATCTTAGTGAGGGAGAGGAAATATAAGAATCAGAGCACTTTACCTGCTTACAAATGAGCATTTACCTAAAAACTGTTTAAATTGTTGCATCAGATTAATTTTACTGGCTTGAACCATATTTTAGCCATGCCTCCTTCCCATTTCCAGCCCGTGAAGGGGCTTGTAAGGAAGATCAACCCAGATTATTAGGAAATAAGGAATCATTCTCTCTGCCTGTGTGTTCCATAAATAACCATTGTTTCTTCTCAGCCTTATTTTGATCACCCACAATATGAGGTAGAATGAAGAAATTAGCCCCCAATCCTATTTGAAGGACCTCCGTTCCATTATTTAATTTTGGAAGGGTCAGGGGGAGAACCTCTACTAAACCCTTCTGGAGTTCTTTATCTGTCTGCCTTTGGAGGTGGAAGAAGTAGGTCTTGTGAAGAATGAGAGAACAGATAAAGTTGAGAGAGAAAGGAAAGTCAAAGGAAGTGGGGCACCATTTGCTTTTTCCTACTTTGAGCTCTGCAACTCACCATTAGGATACAATTTTAGAGAGGCAAAAGGCATCACGTACTTTGTTTCCTTCTCTAGCTTGTCTCTAGGTGGACAAGCTCCAGCAGTCTTGTGACTGCTGCCTGATGAAAGGTATGTGGCACTGCTTACTCCCTCTTCCACCCGCCCTCTTCCAGTATTCACAATGGAGGCAGGCAGGGAGGAGGCACTTTGAGCCTTGATTGTTCTGCTCTGGCAAGCCTCCCATTTTCTAGTACTGTGATGCTCTGTGTTCAGGGAAATTCCAGCAACATTCTATGAGAATATGGGTTAATCAGTCACAGGCTGATGCTATATATACTAACAGCAAGGGTACGGGGTATGTCATGAGTGACAGGAACAGGCAGGTTAACTTTATACAAGGTAGACAGGCTGCATATACTCTATCACGGGAAACCTTTCAAACATCCATTGATCATTTCAAGATCCATTAATTATCTGTAAATCATAAAGTTCTCCAGATTATGGACCAGGTGGTACATCTGACTGCTCATTCATCCACTCATCCATCCACTTACACAGGCATTCGCTAACTTTATCAATACACATGATGGGACATCACTGTGGATACATAGTAGAACGAGATGCAGTCCTTGCCCTTAAGAAGCTCAGAAACTAGTAGTAGACACAGACTAGGAAAGCACCATACTGTCAATTCTTAGTTTATTATCAACGTCACTGGTACTAGTGTCCAGAGACAGGCCATCTGTTAGCCTAAGGCAAAGTTCTACTGAGGTAATATGCATAACAACATATTGCTGGCACACAGTGCTCAAAAAAATGTTAATTATCTTTCGTATCCTCTCTTTACTGATACTCTTAAGGAAGTGCTGCCAGAATACAGCAAAAAAAATCCAGGTGGCCTAAGGATAGTAAGACAAAATTCTGTTGAATTTGTAGAGGGCTTGTCGCTTATACTTAAGAGGCATCCCAGATTTTGGCATTAAAGTGTATTTCTACATCAGCTAAGGTGTGACTGCTTCTCTTCACAGGAGTTCAGTTCTAAAGTCAGTCCAAGGCTGCTGAATAAAGGCAGTGAAATTAACAATAAATAGAAACACACGGGCAGCTTCATCTTTTATAATCAAGCTTTTTCAAGTATTACAAAGACTTAAAAGCTTTTCCTACTTAACAGCTAGAGATGTAAGAAAAATAAAACCAATAAATCAAACAAGTTAGCATGGAAAATTCAAGGCCTAGAAAGAGCCCATATCTCAAATAAATCAGGCTATGGACACATTTCTTGAAGTTCAACTCATCACTTTATTAAAGTGGCAGGAAAGATTTTTCTCCCTTCTCCCAGATCCTAGGAGAAAGGTTTGTCTGTCTTGTAGATGTTCCATGCCAAAGAATCTAAGAAACTGAAACGTCTGCTCACTTATGAGAAAACAGGATGGAACCTGTGGTCACGAACTAAGTCCTTGAGAGAAGTAAAGATAAAAGGACTGAGCGGATTATAAGGAAAGGGAAGAAAGATTAGAGAGGAGGAAATCCACGATGCTCAGAAGAGAACACTTCGTACTGAATGATGGACATCACAATAGTAGAGAACTCTGCACTTGGACTTCATGTGTCAGGCGGATGGTGTAAAAAGATGTCCTTTCTGTTAATGGAATGTTCCTTCCCACTCAGCCAAACCCAACAAGCATAGCTAAAGAGTCACTGCTATAAAATGCATCTCTGATAGCCACCATAAATAGGAATTTATTATTAAATAGATTAAAACCTCACTAACTTGAAGTTTTGTAAAAATACACCAAAAGCCCCACAGAAATTTCCTTTATAATAACACTTTCTTCACAGAATGAACAATTTTGCAGGGGGAGGAAATTTTCAAAATATTTAAGAAAAGTTTTCACAAAATCTTTTTCAAAAGTACCTATCTACAAACAAATCTTTTTTCATGTATCATATTTTTATTGAAGAATCATTTGTGTTTTTAATACAATAGATAAAACTGGCCTTTCAGAGGTACAGTGTTATTACAAACGAAAAATGGACTTCCAAACATGTCAAACTCACGGCAGAGTAAAATGTTATTTATTCAGTCTGATTCAGCTAGTCCATAAAACACTGTGAAGTGAGACACCAGAGAAGCTCTATTTTGAGTCCCTATTAGGTAATTACATATCAACACGCTAAACAGCACATTTCAAGGTCAAAGCTAAATCTGTGGTTATGTTTAAGAGGGTAAGGCACAGAGAGTCTATCGACTGAAGATGGTCATTACAAGGACAGACTCTGGAGCCACACTGCCTGGGTTCAAATCCTGGTTTGCCACTTATTAGTCATTCCTACGTCTCTTGAGCAATTTAGATAGGATTCCTATGTCTCAGTTTCCACATTAGAATATAGGATTTATAATAATCATACCTACTTTGCAAGGTGGTTATGAAGATTTAAAAAGAATAAATTTCCAGCACCTAGCACATGAAGCTATGGAATGTAGTCAACACACAATAAGTATTAGTTCTATAAATATAAAAAGCTGATGTAATTAGAGTAGTACAATAGCAGAAAGTTAACAATCTGTACTTTTAATGGGAGATGAAGAAGGATAAACATCACGGGCTCTGTTCTAAGAAAGATTTGGATTCAAATCCTAAGACTCACATATACCAGTGTGTACCTTGAGAAAGTTACTTAACCTCTCTGTGTTGCATTTTCCTCTCGAGTAAATGCAGACAATCAAACCTAACTCAGTGTTGCTGAAGAGTCGATGATACAATGATGTTAAAGCCCTATACAAAGCTTGACCCATAAGAACTGTTCAAAGATGTTAAGTTAATATCCCTTCTCCTTTGAAATAAATATAAAAGTAGAAGATATATATTTGTTGACCTGCTTTATGGAAATTTATTGAGGTGGTGACTCATGAGG